CTGGCTGCAAGTCTCAAAATCCTCTGCCACTTTGTCTTCGCATGCAACCCTCAGAGAATGAAGGCCATGCGATTCTTGTAGAACTTGCAGGGCAACACGGCCGTCCAAGGAGGCACGGATACCTGCTTCAATTTCACCTGCTAACTTTGGCAAGTCGTAAGCCTCTGCCAGTCGTAGGAGTTCAAGACCAACTTCCACTGATACTTGAGGCTGCCCATCATAGATGTAGTCCAGCAATGCAGACGCTGCCGCTTTGGACGCAGCGATTTCCACTGGCTGCTTCTGTTGCACCCTCTCTGCTTCCAGAAACGATCCTCCCAGCAGATTCTTGAAAAACACGCTGGCGGCAGATAGCACGGCCGTATGGGCGCGATGCTCTGCACCATCATGGCTCTTCAGAACCACATCACAGAGATGGTCGTCCATCCAGAATTGTCGCAACTGCTGCATGATGCTGGCTCGATGCTGGGCCGGATCTGAGTGGTCAAGCTTCACAGCTCCCATGGCGCGGCTTCGACACCGGAAGGCGGTGGTTGGTCGCCTTCTTGGTAAACAGGTGTTGTGGACCCAACCAATGCCACATGAGTCTAACTACAAACGGGTGAGGAACACGCAATCTTCAATCTTCCAGTTATGCTTCCAACAAATGCAAGTATAAATTCACACCATGAAGCCGTGCTTCGAAATGACATAGAAACGCTGAGGACATTCACCAAGTGTTCAGTTGCCCGGATAATTTCAGAACAAAACGTTGCCAGTATTTCAGGATATAGGTTGGATATGTCTTGGAGATATGTCATCCAAAAAAAATGATTGAAGATGATTGAAGAGGCCTTGAAGGTGGTTTCCCAGTATTGAAAAGTGATTCTAGGGCTTGGGCGACCAGGCATTCATGCTTCATATCTGTGACCTATGTGACCTATACCATGATCCTTTTGGTGAAACGTCCATTTCACCGCACCGAAGCTATCCTTGTGGTGATCGCACATCTGTGGTGAAATCTGTTGGAATCCCGGGGTGAAATCCTGGTACGGAGACAGTCCCTGTTGCGAAAAAACACATCCAGATCTCTGATTTTTGTTGGCACATCTCCTACCCGCGTCGACACGTGTCTGTTGCTGTTTCGAGATACATCAGTTGTATCAGAATTCTGGTATCTCCATGCACCATTTCGTGGTGTTTTTCACTCCCGAAATCCCAAAAGTTTGATGAAAATCCCCGAAACGCAGCGCACCTTCATCGATGACCGTGCCATCATCCAAGCCATCCCAAGAGAATACAGCTGGCTCCTGGAGTCGTAGCCAAAAAAAAAGTTTGACTGACCAAAAAAGCGCTGGGATGTTCTGGGGATATGGATATGTCTTATGTGTATTGTTTAGTCATTTCCTTGGCTATTGATTGATGTATTCATGGTATTTTGCTGTATCATCTGTTTAAAATATCATGAAACTTATGTAAATATGTGTGTATAGAGATAGAGAGAGGGAGAGAGAAAGAAAGAAAAAGAGAGAGAGGCAGGTAGACATAGACATAGCTATGGATGCAAATATAACTGTGTGTGCGTGTGGCTGCTGAATTGTAACTCACACACCTGAAAATGACGTGCTTCTGAGGGTCCCTGTGCTACCAATCCTGTCTAATGGATGTGAATCTTGGATAGGAACTGGATCATAAGCAGTTTTCCTACTTGGGTATGCTCAAATTTATCTACGAACCAGCCGTGATCATCAACAACTCTCTCATTTGGATGCATGTCCAAACATTATATATATATACATATATATGTACATGTATATGTATATATATCCATACAGTATGTAGTCTTGATGCATCTCATATGTCACCCAGACATATCTATACACAAAACAAGGTTAGTATGTGCTTGTCCCCGCATCTGTGTGTGACTGTCATAATACCCGTACACTGCCCCAATGGGATCTTATTGGATGTTTTGGGAGTTCTTGTCTTGATTTGTATGTGCTTTTTCCGCGGAGGTTGTATAACCATTGACCAGGCACTCAACGAAAAGCTTTGATAGAGTTTGTCCATTGCAAGGTTGCAGTACTAGAGAGTACATCCCAGGATTTTCTTGGCTATCTCCTATTGTACATGTCTATATAAATATATGTATTATATATATATACATCTAATGATTGTTTGGTGATACTCCCATGTTCTTTGGTGAAAACACTTACTGTATCTCGGAATTCGATGAAGCGACACTCTACAGAATATGACATGTTCAAAAACATGTTCAAACACCAATTGCTGGTTTCAACCCCCCTGAAAAATATGAGTTCATCAGTTGGGAATATTCTTCCCAATATATGGAAAGTCATAAAATTCCATGGTTCCAAATCACCAACCAGTTATGATATACCATTTATAATGGTTATATATAAATCATTATAAATCCCTATTAAATCCCATTAAATCCCTAATATTCAATGGTGACTCAGGGCTTCCAACCGCATTCAACACCAGCGTCCCCACCGTCCGGCGAGACGAGGCAGGGCAATCTCTTCGTGCCGATTCGTGCAGAAGGGAACAGAAGGGCGCGGAATCTCAGTTTCACCAATCACACAGGTATAACGGTATAACCTTTCCTGCAAATTTGGAGATGTGGCTGTTCCCGAGATGACTCTGTTTGTCCTAAATTTTGCCCTCCAAATCTAGGCATTACCTCAACATGCCCAGCCCATGGTTGATTCAGTGACTGGAAAATGGCCACGCGGGGATCACAGCTTGAAATTCCACGGAGATCAAATGTCAATTGCCAAAGGATACAACGGCTTGCTTGCATGTGCGCCCCCAGTATTTGGCTAGTACAATAACATACAAGGGTTATATAACCATTATAAAACCCATTATGTAATCTAACTGGGGATGTTTCATATAAATATGAACCTGGGTGAACTAAGTGAACTAATTCTGATCCCCTTTTGTCCATATACTCGTTTTATACCAAACATCTATCCTTTGTTTTTTCAGCAGTGAGGAGCGACACTGGAGCCGGTGGACCCGACATGTTGGCGACTTATGATAGCCTCTGGTAAACATACAAAAAGCTATAGAAAATTGCCATTTATAGTGAGTTTTCCCATTTAAAAAATGGTGATTTTCCATAGTTATGTTATGCAGTTTAGCAGAGGGTCGTTCCTGAACTGGAAGTATTGGCCAAAAATGTGTACCTTCCAATCAAGAAACATACGGATATGGAGTATTGCCTTCCCAACGGTGACTGTTGTGCAAAATCTGCTGATCTTCTGTCGATTTTTTTTGGTATGGAAGGCATCCCGGTACCCCCCAAAATAAAGGATGGCGCAAAATCTTCAGTAGTCGACCCATGCCGATCACCGTGCACGTCAGATTCACCCCTGATCATTCCAGAGCAACATCATTTGGGTGGCGCCGTTGTGATATCGCCCCTTTAAGGTGAAAAAACATGACAGAGCCACAACAAGAATCTGGAAAGAATGTCAAGTCATAAGCTGCCAGCCGAATCCATCTGTTTTTCTGTCTCAAATCCGAACTTTTGTCTCAGACCCAGATTCTGTGAGGTCCTGGCAAGCCGTTCCCGTAATCTTAGGCAGCTTGGGGAAGTCGATTATGTTTCGAAGGGGTATCAAATGTTGCCCCATTCTCTGACAGAAAAAACAAAAACCGTTCATTTTCACCTACCCTTCACCAGATTGTGTTCATGTGGTTGTTTTCCGGTATGTCGGCATCGCCCCATCTGTATGGCGCTTGAATCTGTTGTCGGTCAAAATATCCTGATCCAACAACGACCCACTCGCGGACTTTTCCAAACACTCAATGAGCACCATCGCTACAGCACAATTCCAACTGGGAGACATTGTGGCCTGGGGCCAGACTGCGCCAGGTGATTCATGTCCAGCTGCAAAACGCCAATCATGGTGAGTGATGGAAGAATCCTGCGATTTTTGATGATTTTTGTGGAGGTTGCTGAATTTATCTGGAACTGGTTTCCAGGGTTGACAGGTAATGAGGAACACATTTGGATCGGAAAAACCAGGGATTTCTGGGAAAAGAACACTGATCGATACCTAGGCCGTCTTTGGCTAAGGCGGGGGATCCAGAATTTGATTCCTTCAAGGTGTTTTTTGTTTGTTTGTTTGTTGGTTCATAAATCCCAGTGTCTGCAAATATATAATATAATATAATATAATATATGTAATATAATATATATATAATATATATAATAATAATAATAATCTCTTTTCTGCCTGCCTTGCTCAAAGGATTCCTGGAGTGTGCTTTGACTGACTGTCGCTGGAAAAAGTGCAGTCAGCACAACTCAAAACTGCAAATACCAAACTCAAAAGGAAAATCTTTCATCCTCCAAGCTTGGATCTTCGAAACTTCTTCTCCACTTCTGCTTTACTTTCCGCAAGGAGCAACTCCTCCCAAAGCACGCTCCAGGAGAACTTCGAAAGCACTTCGATTCTAGCCTTAGCAATGGCACTCAAATTGTGGACCAAAATGTAAGCTGCCACCTCCTGGAGGTAGTACTCTAACGTTCGCATCTTGGACCATCGGCCACGCCAAGCAACCCAAGCGATGTCTTCAGACGAGGAATAGAGGAAGGTCGCTCCTGATCCCCGCAAAACGCCAGGTGTAGCTCCATGATCATTCTGTTTAAAAGGCACTCCCAAACGTGACATGATGGCGTTCCATTGGCGCCTGAAGCTGTGCATAGACCCCAAATATAAACGCGAGTCTGCCGACAACCTGCCAAAAAGGGTCTCAGCCACCAGAATGATTTCAGGATCGTCAATCCTACCATGTTGACGCCGAGCAAACCGTGCAGTCTTTGGATCTCGGATCCTGATGTATAGAGCCGCAGTATCAAAGCAAACATCAGAAGGGAAAACAAGGTCTTTGCGACGCAAACTCAACATCTCCGATGGATGAAGCATTGCAGCAAACCCAATTAACACAATTCCTGCCCAGGAGTGCCAGCCCCACAAGACTGCTAATCATACTGCTGCTCTGACCACTAGAGCAGGAAGTACGGCACGCGAAGTGCCAGGTTCATGGATTTGCCATTTCTTGTCAATCTGCCAGGCTACCGACATGAAAGATCTCGACAAAGGGAAAAGGTCCTGCGTAGCAGTGATGGCATACACAAAAAGATAGCGAGGATGGCCATGCTCGAAGCAGTACAACCCATACGCTCGAAGAGCTATTGCAAGAGCTTGGGGATCCTCAGTCAAAGGAAGCCAGTCTATCTCTGCTACGTCTCGGACCCAAATCTTAAATCCTTCCAGGCAGCGCGCCATGCGCTGTGAAGTCGCAGCAACAAAGCCAACAGTTAAATCGAGTTGACCTCGGAAAGGCCCTGGGTTCGGCTCGATGTCACCACAAAGCATCAGGAGGAATCGCAACCACCGTGCTGGGTTCTTGCTGATGGAGCTGGATTGTACTACCATGTCAAAACGTTTGGGGTCACCACGCAAGAGATCGGACAACCAGGCCGGAGGTGCAAAACTGGGCGGTCGCACATCTCGGTCTCGGGACGGTTCATCAGCTCGGTTGTCCTTTGAAGCTGTGTGCAAAAGGCCGGGATACAACTCACTGCCTAACACATAGGCTACTGACCCCTGAAGGACCCTGCCGAGTGCAGGAGAACTAGACCTACCTTTTGCTGCAGCCCCTATGGTTACCCGACTATCAAATAACCCCATAAAACGACTGCATGGTTCATGTTTGGCCATGTACTTTAACCAGGATTTATAAGTCCGTGTTTCATTCACGTTTATGTGTCCTGACTTCCGGAATCGGAATTTGAAGAGTTCAGTGAAAGGCAGGCTGTCTGACAACTCGCGCACCCACTCAGGATCTTCAAACCAAGGTCTGGCAGGATATGCTGAGTCGGTTGCAGGCAGCCAAGTAGGTTCCAGGTCAGCCAAACCAACTTCACTGAGAGCTTCATACTGTTTGGAAAGTGGGATTCGAGAAAGGGATCCTCGTTTTGCAGCGACATGCCCACTAGCCATCATATGCACAAGTCTAAGGGGATATGCAGCTGAAAATTCAGAGACAGCTTGACCTACGGTCGGGGTATGCCCGAAGACGGCAGTGCAGGATGGGCGGCATCTCTTACAAAACTCAGCAAGGGATTCTTTGGTAAAGGTGCCTTCAATCTTAAAATGGTTTCCCTTGTAGGGGCAGTCACAGGTGGATTCTAGATCTACGAGCCAAGGTTTATTGTGCAGCCATTTTGATGCCTTTTGGAAGGCGCTGCCGTAACTGCAAAAACAAAAATGAGAAATGATACACCCAAGCTTCACCATGACCTGAAAGCAGTGAAGTCGAAAAAGTCGTGAATTCTTGGGCTGCTCTACACTCACGAAGCAGCCTAGGGTCAGGGCAATGGTCAAAACAAAAGCTGTGCGCCGAGCCAACATGTTATGATAAGATGTGAAAGGGTCACTCGGGTCAAAACCAAATGGGAATTCATTTGATCGCACTTGAGGCCTCCTGAGGGTTCCGTAGCTCAAACAAGGAACACCAGCATGCCAGTCTCTGATCACACGGCGATATGCCAGGGCCACGAGTTCTCGGAAGGTGGACATGTCAGCCAAGTCAGAAACGCGGAGGCGCTTCCCATCCACATCAAAACCATCATGGCAAGTCAGGCCGCGAGAGCTATGGACATGAGACCAATTGCCACTGCCTCTGAAAATTTCACAACAATCATACAAAAAACCTTCGGTGAGTGAAGAAGGGATTTGTTGCACCATTTCACAAGTCTGTAGAGAGGCTTCACCTCCAAATTGCAAGCTGCTTTCAGGTTCATACCCTAGTTCGGCTAAAACAGCGGATGCAGGGCTGAGGAGCCGGGTATAGTAACCCTTTTGTTCCGAGTGCCGCCACAGTTCTTGGGTGGCGGCTGGGCTGATGGGGGCAACTACAACTGCACCACCTGTGGGACTAGCATCACAGCTATATATGTTTGAAGAATGCTGCACCCTCAGGTTTGTCTGAGCCAAAGGGCCTAATGTTGCCAACAGCTGCAATTCACATCGTGACTGTCGCGCCAAACAAAAGGTCTGGTCAGGCGGCAAACCTTGGCCTTCTCTAAATAATGAATTCACCAAAGCAAACATCACTCTTCTGAACATCAGCACATGCACCCAACAGCCTAAAACGGAGGACAAAAGCTTGGGGGTGCAAGTTCCCCGAATTGCGAGATGCAAGGTGATAAGGCAAAGAATCAGAATGCGGGGCCTCGGGGCCATGACTCTGCCCTCAACGCCATTGAAATCTGCTCCCAGGATGATTCCCTCGGTCTGGTTCCGTTTTTGCTTTTTCTCCTGCTGGATCAACCCTACATGTTTGTAGGCAAAAGCGGCATCACGGAAAATCTGAGTGTCCCTGAGCTCTGGGTTTTTTGAGAAATCCTTGATAGCCAACTTTTGAATTCCAACATGATCATCAATAGCAAGAAGTTCTACAAAGTCAGAACGGGGAATGGGGAATCGATACCTAAGGGTTTCATGAGCAAGAAGGGCTCCACAAAATTGCCTAAGAACGTTCTTGTGCGCCTGCTGACCTATTTCAACTGCAAGGCTGTCGCCCATGGCGAGCGTGCTCAAACACACCAACAGATCCTGACCCCTGAACTCAGGTTTGAAACGCTTGAAAGCCTGGACATCCTCCCAAGAGAAACGCATGCGTATGGCATTCCTCCGAGCACGAGCTGCGCTAACACAAAACGTGTAGTAGTAATCAGTGAGATCATCAGCTGAAAACCGGAACATGTCACCAGGTCCAAGATGTAAAAGGGTGAGTAAACAACCAGGGGCCAATTCCTTGGTGGATCTAGTAATGGTATGCATCCTGCTGTTGATGGTCACAGGGTTAATGATGAGCCTATCAAAAGACCTATCTTTTGGGACACAAAACAGGCCTACTGCTTCAGAAAAGTCTTTTTCACAGGCTGGCATGAGGGAACATGCTCCGGGCTGGTCCCATCGTCGTGCCAGCTCCAGCAGTTCGCTCTTGGAACAATGGACTCTCGCCGGGTGAGCAGGCGGCCACGTCTCAATATCCTTTCGGAGCACGTCAGGATCAGCATACGCTGCACGAACAAGCAAATCATCTAAAAAAGGAGTTGCATCAAAAGAAGGAGGGCTGTTCCACTTCACCCGTTCTGAGACAACTGGTTTGGCATTAATGCCAGCTGGATGCTTAACTGTACGTGGCGGACATGCATGACATGGGTGCTCTTCTTGAAAAACAGGACTAGGCTTCTGCTTGAAATGACTGCCATAGGAATCCAAATCATGCTTCAGCTGAACAGCTAATTTTTGGAGGTCCTCTAACCCTAGTTTGCACCAAGGAAGTTCCTTCACCATTTGAATTACGCCTGAAAATTTTTCTTGAGCACGGCCCAAGTCATCCACTTCAAAGTCTGGCATGCAAAGAAAATGGCCAAGCATCGACTCGAGACGTTCAACAATCTGATGCTGCGCTTCAGAGATTGGCGCCCCTAGTTGAGCGCGAGGTGGGGGTTCTTTTGGAAACCCCAGGACCTCCCAGTTCAAACTAGCTATGACTAACTGCAGCCACTCATGCCGAGCTCTTAAAAAGCGCAAACGACGTCGACGTCGTGGATTCAGGCGACTTGCATCGGTCCAACGCCACCTAGGGAGGGGAACCGGCCAAAGGAGATTTGACACTCCATCAACGGTGCAGGCTTTGTCCGGGTTAAGGCTTTCCCTAATGAAATGACCCAACCCAGTAGGTGCGGATTTTAGCACCTGGCATGCATGCAAAACTGAACTAATTACGGGGAACTTCTCTCCGGGGAAACGGTCTATTTTGGCTTTCTGGGGCCGCCGTTTGGGCTGAGCTGACGGCTCGTCCTCGAGAGGCTGAATGGCTTTTGATCCCTTTGCATTTGCGGATAGCCGGCTTTCCATATAGTCCAAATCTTTGACATAGGCTAAATTGGCGGAAATCCAGCTTGGGTTGCAAATCCGGCAGAACTGTTGCAGGCCGCTGCGTCTCTTGTGCGATACTAGGATTTGGTACGGAGGTTCCTGCCATCCGCACAAAAGCCATGCAGTCTGGGTGCGTCCCTGCTCTATTGCAGCCTGTTCCACAAAATACATCATCCGTGAACACCCCTAGCAGTTCTATGTTCTGGCTTTCGAAACCTATGTTCCAGCTCTCTGCGATCATGAAGGCAAACTGGGAAAGGAGTCGATGTTCTGCAAGAGGAATTTTCCTCTCTACATACTTCCTCATCAAGTTTCCATCCTCTCGGCTGGCTGGAATCCCTAGCTCTCTCAGCAGATTGGCCCGAGTTGAGTCGGCAACTTTGGTAAGATCTTGCACTGCCCGTAAAAACACCTCCCGGGCCAGGCATCCTTTGACTCCTGAGCTGCTTCCTCCGCCGCTGTCCGAGGCGCTGCCGCCTGACAAAGCCCCCAGCACAGGGTCTGAGTGTTTGGTCACCAGCTTCTGGAGCAAAACGGCATTCTGTTGCATCTGGAGGAACATCAACTGCTGGGCCGGGTCGGCCGACTGGATCTGAGCAGGAAGCTCCAATCCTGCAACCCCTGGCTCGGCTACCTCGCGCTCTTCCTCTACATAATCGGTCTCGAACTGAGCCATCTGCGTGGTGGCAGGCAAGGATCGGCGAGTCTCTGTTGCCCCTACTCTGGGCGGGGGCGAGCCTGCCAACTGCTTCAGCTTGGTCCAATCGGCTGCCGACACTTTGGGCGTCACTCCTACATTGAACAGACTGGGCGTCTTTGGCGGCGGAGGAGGAACTGCTACAGGTTGAGCTGAGGCAAGCTGGGCTTTCAGCGCTTGGATTTGAGCTTTGAGCTCTGTCACAGAAGCCTGCTCCTGTGCGGATGCAGGTGGACTGCGGTCGGGCTCCGCTTCGGCTTCCAACTCCTCTCCGGTGAGGTACTCCTGGGCGGTTGTCTCTTCCATGGTCAACAACCATTCGGAGGCCAGACTGTGAGCGGACTGACGACGAGGACGTCCAGTTTCGTCTGCAACCCTGCATGTCAAAATCCGGTCGCGGGGGACAGCTTGCCGTCCGGTTCTTGGATGCTGGAAGAACCTATGTGCAGCCAAGGCAAATCCACCAGCTCTACGTCGGCTTGGCCAATGTTTCGCCCTCTGACAGTTTCCACTTCGCAAGAACCTACAAAGAACATGGGTGCATCTTCGCCTGAGGCATCGCTCAGGGCGGCTACAGCATTGTGAGCTGCGTCGGCACACGGGATCACGATCATAAAACCATTCTCCCTCAGGTATACTAAATGGCATGCAACACAAGCAAAATTGTCTCCCTCCTCTGGCAGGGGAAGATGGATCTCTGGCAATGCTCTCTGAGCAGAAGGCTGACTCAACAAGCCTTCTGCGGCCTCTCGGGTGAGAGGCCCACTCATTGGACTTCTTCGGGCCATGGCCGGGCTGCCCCAGCCAAAAAGGCCGTCGCCTCTGCACGGGATGGAAAGGCGTGACTGATGCTGGAGACCTCGACGATCTCCCACCACCTCAATGTATGTACGATAGCTGGAAGTCCAAAAACCCTGAGGGTAGGAATTGCAGCGAAGGACAATGTAGATGGAGTTCTGGAAAGGAATGGTAGGTGAGGCAATCGCGCACTCCCTACCCAACAACCGCTCACGAGCGGCTACACCCGCTCGAAAAGCTCTACCCAATCTCGCTCGTGAAGTCCAAGTAGAGTGGGAACCACGCAACTGGCGCTCCAAGAGATCCACTTGAGGCACTGGCAATGCTGCAAAAGCCAAGGCTGAGGTCGCTTCCAAAGCAAGGGCGTCTACTGCAGCAGATGGTGCCACAGGAGACTGATCAGGTGCACTCGCTTCAGAGGCAGCGGAACTCACAACCTCGAAACCTGAAACTGATCCCTGAGAATCGGCCGCAGCAGGTCTAGCAGAAATAGAGATCCGGACCCCAGCAAGTAGAAAAGTGACAGTTTCAATATCGTTTTCCACAACAGCTTTGGGGGGCATCAACAATCTCTCCGATATTCAGCTAGCCTCCCTCTAAGGTCCAAAGGGGCAACTGGATACCAAGTGGCAACCAGGATTCGAATGCTCTGGCCCAAACACCTTCTGCACTGCGCAGAAAAGATCAATGCACCAGCAAAGAGCCCGGCGCACCAGCAGAAACACCCAATGCAGATACCCAGGGTAACCAGTAAAAACCAGGGGCAATTCGAATCGCTATGGGATGACCACAAACGAACCTCTCGGAGGGTATCAGGGATCCACGCGCTCATGCGACTTGACCCCAAAAGGCTTGACCAGCAAGTACGTCATGCAAGAGATAGTGGAACCAATATATATATATATATATATACACCTATCACAGACCATAGTCAACCTAGTTATAAGTTATAAACCAACAAAAACTATGTAGGGGGGGCCGCCTTGGTGTTACGGTTCTTTGAAATGATGTTAGGGTCCCAAGATGTCCTCAAGTATGGAAGGCATCAGATCACATCAGTCACTCGGGTCAGGTGCCCTGGTGAAGAGGTGCTCTTGACCCATGCCCCCCAGAAGCCCCCAACCACAGGATCTTTTTTCACTACTGAAGCTGAAGTTCAGGAGGCAACAAATATTCGTAAACCTTCCCCGTCCAGGGCTCTCCGTTCACCTCAAGTGTCACCATGCTCACATACAGCGATCTGTCCTGAACCAACAGTGCCAAAGGCTGTAATCCATCTGGACACTGCAAGACTTCCGTGAAAGTTTCGCTGCTTGGGTGGAAGGCCAACACCTTTCTTTGAATCAACTCAGCAACATAGATTGTTCCACCGTCAGTTACAAACAAGTCCGTCAGGACAGACCGGCCCTCAGTTGGGATTTGGCCCACCACAACAGGTTCCAACGACTCAGCTGGATTGATGCACAGAATGCGACGGTTGTTATTCAGATTATCCAAAAGATAGATCACCTCTTCCTTTGTTACCAAGATTTCGCATGCCTTGAACTGCATGTCTGCAGGAAGACTCTCAGAGGCAATCACTGTCTCGAGCGTGGAGCCAACCAACTTTTGCAATGTTCTCCCATCCCAGCTCACCACGTACAGCACTTCGTTGGGCGAGTAAAACAGGGCGCCAGCATCAGCATTGCCAACAACCACGTCTCCAGAACCGTTTTGAAAACGAAGAAGCCTCCAATTCTGCCAATCTGACACAAACACCTCCCCGCTGGGCGAGATGGACAACAAACATTCATTTCCCCAGTCGTTGATTCCAGTGACAGCAGCGCCTTCACCCGCAACAGGTCGCACGCGGGATGCAGGGTCACCGGGCTTCCAACTAATGATGCGGCGACCGTCTAAGTGCGCAGCAAACAGTTCACCTTGGTGCCAGCGCAAAGAGTTACATAACAAGGGCAGTACCTCTCGCCCTGAAGCTTCAATGCTGGCTGTACTGGCGCCTAAAAATGGTGACCAGTGCTGGAAACAATGCCTCTTGGACTGAAATGCACCTGGACTTTGGCTTCTCTTTCGGGAGGTCAATGCGCCCTCAACTTCCCGGTGCAGGTCGTCACCACTGGAACCAGAGAGAGTTGTGTGGCCAAGGCGAAGCAAATTCTCAAAGGATAGTGATTGGAAATGTACATGTTGCAGCAGCACGCCCAGAAAGGCATGTCCGTCCTTGGAAACTTTGTTCCAAGTAAATATTGCGTTCACCACTTCTTCGCGATAGATAGCCAGATCTTCCCTCCTCAAAATTCGAGCCAGCTGACTAGCACTAAGTTTCCCAAAATCTGGATGCTGGCTACAAGTCTCAAACTCTTCAGCAACTTTATCTTCGCAAGCAGCTCTCAAAGAATGTAGTCCATGCCCTTCTTGCAGAACTTGCAGGGCAACACTGCTGTCCAAGCAGGCAAGGATGCCAGCCTCAATCGCACCTGCTAACTTTGGCAGGTCGTAAGCCTCTGCCAGTCGTAGGAGTTCTAGACCAACTTCCACTGGCACTTCAGGCTGCCCATCATAGATGTAGTCCAGCAATGCAGACAACGCCGCTTTGGACGCAGCGATTTCCACTGGCTGCTTCTGTTGCACCCTCTCTGCTTCCAGAAACGATCCTCCCAGCAGATTCTTAAAAAACACGCTGGCAGCTGATAGCACGGCCGTATGGGCGCGATGCTCTGCACCATCATGGCTCTTCAGCACCACATCGCAGAGATGGTCGTCCATCCAGAACTGTCGCAACTGCTGCATGATGCTGGCCCGATGCTGGGCCCGGTCTGAGTGGTCGAGCTTTACAGCTCCCATGGCACTCAACACGCCGCTCCGGAAATCGTGTACAATGCCGATTCTGCCGTTGATCAATCCCACAGGCCCACAGGCTATAGCTGGCAACAGTGTAGTGAAGCTTAGTATTAGCGCACTACCAAAATAGTGATCATGCTGGTAGCCGCTGCAGAGTGGGTTGAACATCCAAAGCTTGAAACAGCTACGTTGACCACATTCACCAAGCTTTCAGTTGCAACCCAGATGATTTCAGAACAAAACGTTGCAAGTATACATTCTGACACGTTCTGAATATGTGGAGGTTTCCTGAAATGAGGGTACCCCCAAATCATTCGTTTAAGTGGGATTCTGGGATTCTCCATGATAATTATAAACCATCCATTTTGGGGTACCCCCGTTTTAGGAAACCCACATGAAAGGGCCATGCAGTTGATACTTTCCCAGTATTGAAAATTGTGCCCCTGGATGTTTCGTGAAATACCACTTTCGTCTCGTATTTAAGGCTAAAATCACCTGGAAAATTACAAACGTTCAGTGGTTGGGATTCCCGAATTTTCCTGGCATATGGTGTCTCTCACCATGTCTGCTGATGTTATAGTGATACCTTCGTTTCAATTCCTTTGTGCCATTCGTTTCAAATCCCCCGTTTTCTTGTCACCATGTTTTGCCAAAAACGGCAGCCGCGCACCTTGGGCTCGCCAAGAGCTCGACAGCTGCGGCTCCTGCCGGATCCAAAAATTGGTTGGTGACCAAAATATGGGATGTTGCGGGGATTAAAAGAACGTCAAGACATTTGGATATGTATATTGCTTTAGTGATCCTTTCTTTACCTCTTGATGTATTCATAACCTTTGGTTATAATCACGTACAAGATTTGGCTGTTTTGTGGCATATACGCCACTCAGAAACTATTTGCCATCTTCAGGGATCTTATCCAAAGAATAAACATGATTGCTTGATGGTTCACAGGAATTGTGGCTTAGTTCACCCAATAGGCTTAGTCCAGGTATGGCTGGGGTGAACTAACCCAACGGCCCTGGAGAAACCTTTTGAGTATGGGGATCTCTAAACTTCAATGTGTTCATTTTGTTTGCTTCCCCCGTGCTTTATCTGTTTATTGATTTATGGAAACATGATGAAACATGTATATATAATACAGAGAGCGAGGGGCAGACGTAGACGTAGAAGTGATATAGATATTGATACAGATATAGACATGTCATACATACGAGGTGATTTTTGGGAGGTCCCTGTACCAATCATATCTGTGGACGTGCATCTCGGATATCTATCATTGAATGAACCGACCGGGTCTGCTGTGGTTATCAACTGCGTAATTTGGGATGCATGTATGATTATTGTATGTGTGCACAAACAACATCTTAGGTATGTGTATTTGTTCATCTGTGTGTGTCTGTCATCATACCGGTAAACTGCCTCAATGGAATCTCATATGCCGTGATGTGTTGGGAGTTCTTCTGTTGTTTTTGTCTGTCTTTATGCTAAAGTTTATTTAGCCATCGATCAGTCGTTGAAGGAACATCAATGAAAATCATCGATCGGAGTACCAGAGAGTATTCCATCAATGGTCATTTCAGGAACCGATTGATTGGAGGTATCTACCATATATAAGGCCCATGTAAGGCCTATGTAAGGCCTATGTAAGGGAATATACCCTCAAAATATGGCCTTATATGGTACAGTACCTCCATTTTAGGATCCTGGAATTCCCATTGATTCCAAGGATTTTCGTGATCTCCTAGTACATCTCATGAATTGTTTTTTGGAGGTGGATTTATCCTCCAGAATTGGTAAAGGAAATGTTGGTGGGTAACCAGAAACACATGTGGGAAAAATCATGTATTTCTGAAAAACTGAAAACAGACCCGCTGATCAATGATGTGGGTGTTTTCCTGGCGAGGGAAAAACATAGGGTAAAGTAAAGGGGGTTCACAATATGAGTCGATCAATGGAAGAATCCATGGTTCCTTGTTCCTGTTCTTTGAAATTGTTAGGAGGCATTGGCGACATCAGTCGGCCAACATGCCCTACCAAACCAATGCCCCCTGGAAGCCCCCTGGCACCGCAGGACTTGTTTTCACAGCTGAAGCTCCGGAGGTAACCAATATTCGTAAAGCCCCCCAGTGTCCGGGGACTGTGCATCCAACCTCCGCGCCAGCATGTTCACATACAAGGACCTGTCCTGAACCAACAGTGCGAAAGGGTGAAATCCATCTGGGCACTGCAAGACTTCTGTGAAAGTTGGGCTGCTTGGGTGGAAGGCAAGCACCTTTCTTTGATCCCCGGCAGCAACATAAATTGTTCCACCGTCAGTTACAAACAGGTCCGTGAGGAAAGACCGGCCCTCAGTTGGGATTTGGCCCACCACAACAGGTTCCAACGACTCAGCTGGATTGATGCACAGAATGCGACGGTTATTATTCAGATTATCCAAGAGATAGATCACCTCTTCCTTGGTTACAAACACCCGATCCGCATTGAACTTCATGTCTGCCGGAAGGCTCTCGGATGCAATCACAATCTCGAGCGTGGAGCCCGCCAGCTTTGCCACTGCTCTCCCATTCTGGCGCAATGCATACAGAACCCCGTTGGGCGAGCAAAACAGGGCGCCAGCATCAGTGTTGCCAACAACTAAGTCTCCAGAACCGTTTTGAAACCGAAGAAGCCTCCGATTCTGCCAATCTGCCACAAACATCTCACCGCTGGGCGAGATGGCCAGGTC